AGTATTTAGTCAGCCACTGATTTTGCAAGTTCTCCTACGTAGAAAGATGAGAGAGGTCTGTAATTTTCATCAGAGATACACTTCAACTATGAGAGACAAAATGAGAAAAAAAATCCAGGAAATCACATTGTAGGATTTTTAAAGAATTTATTTGTAAATTATGGTGGAAAATAAGTATTTGGTCAATAACAAAAGTTCAACTCAATACTTTGTAACATAACCTTTGTTGGCAATGACAGAGGTCAAACGTTTCCTGTAAGTCTTCACCAGGTTTGCACACACTGTAGCTGGTATTTTGGCCCATTCCTCCATGCAGATCTCCTCTAGAGCAGTGATGTTTTGGGGCAGTCGCTGGGCAACACAGACTTTCAACTCCCTCCACAAATTTTCTATGGGGTTGAGGTCTGGAGACTGGCTAGGCCACTCCAGGACCTTGAAATGCTTTTTGCGGAGCCACTCCTTCGTTGCCCGAGCGTGTGTTTGGGATCATTGTCATGCTGGAAGACCCAGCCACGTTCCATCTTCAATGCTCTCACTGATGGAAGGAGGTTTTGGCTTAAAATCTCACGATACATGGCCCCGTTCATTCTTCCCTTAACATGGATCAGTCGTCCTGTCCCCTTTGCAGAAAAACAGCCCCAAAGCATGATGTTTCCACCCCCATGCTTCACAGTAGGTATGGTGTTCTTGGGATGCAACTCAGCATTCTTCTTCCTCCAAACACGACGAGTTGAGTTTTTACCAAAAAGTTCTATTTTGGTTTCATCTGACCACATGATATTCTCCCAATCCTCTTCTGGATCATCCACATGCTCTCTGGCAAACTTCAGATGGGCCTGGATATGTACTGGCTTAAGCAGGGGGACACGCCTGGCGCTGCAGGATTTGAGTCCCTCTCGGCGTAGTGTGTTACTGATGGTAGCCTTTGTTACTTTGGTCCCAGCTCTCTGCAGGTCATTCATCAGGTCCCCCCGTGTAGTTCTGGGATTTTTGCTCACCGTTCTCATGATCATTTTGATCCCACGGGATGAGATCTTGCGTGGGGCCCCAGATCGAGGGAGATTATCAATGGTCTTGTATGTCTTCCATTTTCTTACAATTGCTCCCACAGTTGATTTATTCACACCAACCTGCTTGCCTATTGTAGATTCACTCTTACCAGCCTGGTGCAGGTCTACAATTTTATTCCTGGTGTCATTCGACAGCTCTTTGGTCTTGGCCATGGTTGAGTTTGGAGTCTGACTGTTTGAGGCTGTGGACAGGTGTCTTTTATACAGATAACGAGTTCAAACAGGTGCCATTAATACAGGTAACGAGTGGAGGACAGAAGAGCTTCTTAAAGAAGAAGTTACAGGTCTGTGAGAGCCAGAAATCTTGCTTGTTTGTGGGTGACCAAATACTTATTTTCCACCATAATTTACAAATAAATTCTTTAAAAATCCTACAATGTGATTTCCTGGATTTTTTTTCTCATTTTGTCTCTCATAGTTGAAGTGTACCTCTGATGAAAATTACAGACCTCTCTCATCTTTCTAAGTAGGAGAACTTGCAAAATCAGTGGCTGACTAAATACTTTTTTGCCCCACTGTATACAGGTCACACATTAGTTTGCATCAGTTTCTTGAAAGGCTTTGGTGGTCAAAGGTCAAGGTCGCTGTGACCTAGCATACATTTCATTCTTGTGAACGCAATACCCCAGAACAGCTTGAGGGAATTTCTTCATGTTTGGCACTAACGTTCACTTGGACTCAACTATGGAAGTGATTAGATTTTGATGGTCAAAGGTCAAGGTCACTGTGACCATGTCTGTTTCATTTTTGTGAATGCAATACTTCAAGAACACTGTAAGGGAATTTCTCCAAAATTGGCACCAATGTTCACTTGGACTGAAGAATAACCAGATTAGATGTTTGTGGTCAAAGGTCAGTGTGACCCCTCAAAATATGTTTTGGCCCAAACTCAAGAATTCATACACTAATTACGACAAAGCTTCACACAAATGTCTGATAGGATAAAATAATGAATTGATGGCATTTTTTGGTCCAAAGGGCATCACCGTCCACTGTGACATCATAATGTTTTGCAAAAACACTTTTCTGGTCGTTACTCAGCATCATATCTCAGGAACAGATGAGGAGACATTTGGTCAGATACTGAATTAGTGACACTAATCTGAGTGTCCACCTTGAAACTGTGCTGATTGTACAGATCTTCTGTGCTGCCTCATTGAAGATGTGTGTGAAGCATCCATGTTTTCACAGACATGAATATTTGCTGCTCCCCCCATTAGTCACTTAGACACAAAACATGGGACAATAGGTCCCAGGTTGAAGAATACCAAAGTGAGCCATGTATTGTTCCATACCGATTGGCTAGTTTAGGTGATAGCTTGCAGTAAACAGAGTTTCACCTCCTAAAAGTGTTACTAACACATCAGTATTGTGTCTCATCCTCAGTTTTCAACTCTGTACATCATCTCCTTTGTCGTCATTACTGTGGGTTTCGTCATGTTCAACGCCGTTCCCACGTACTCGGTGTTACCAGAGTCCGGCTCCAATGAGGACGACCCCACCGACGCGTCAGCTGAGAGCCCCTTGGACCATTTATTGTCTGTGGGCAGAGACACGGAGAGAACTGAGACAGTCACTGCTCTGGCTGCACTGTGACTGAAAACTACTGACTGAAGACAGAAGGCTGTACTGTAGCTGAAAACGGATCTGCTGAAACACTTAGTTTTTCTTCCATTATAGGTCAGTTTTTTTTTTTGCCTTTATTGGATAGAGCAGCTGAAGACAGACAGGAAAGGGGGGGAAACAGAGAGGACATGCAGTAAAGTGTTGCAGGTCGGAATCAAACCCCGTCTGCTGCTAAGGACTCAGCCTACATGAGGTGCACGCTCTACCAGGGGAGCTCCAGGTGCCCCAACATTGTTACAGAATGACATTGTTTTTGTACTTAGCCAGAAAGTTCACTGATTTTTGGTATGTTGCATTTTCAAAATCAAAGAAAATGCAGCTGTATGACACGTCATTGCATTGTAGTATTAGCACATTCCTATTTATATCATTTTTTAAAAGATATTTCTCTATCACCGATGATTGAATATCTGTTACTGCACATGTGCTGGATGTCGACATGTTAAACACAAACAATGCACTGCTATTTATTGTGCCAAATTTTAAGTGTTACTTCTGCTCTCCTTTGTCTAATATTAATGATATTTTACGATTATATTATGTCATTGTTTTAAATTTAAACACAAGCCAATCATGAAGTGAAATTTTTATGTCTGTTGCTGATGGTGCTGTTACAGTTTTTTTTATCTGCCAGATGTACTGCAAATCACATGGTTGTCTCTGCCGTGTGTAAAGCATGTTAGCGTGCAGCAGCAGTTTTACTTTTTTACTATTAAATTAATTTTATATTCTCTCTGGTCTGCATCATTTTTCATTTTCTTTACACTGTTAATGTGTCTGGTTGGTCTATGTATGCTGCTTTAACCAGTGTGTATGTACACAGGATATTTATCTACACACAGGTAATGGAGGTACAACAAAATATGTTAGCTATTTTTTGGAAAGAACTATGATCCTCAATAAATTAATTTTCTGCATAAGCTGAAATACACTCATAACAATAATACTCACTCACTAGATCAGCATTTTTATTCCATCCATTCATTTTCAACTGCTTATCTGAAGCCGGGTCTTGGGGGCAGCAGGCTGAGCAAAGTTTTCCAGACGTCCTTCTCCCCAGCAACACTTTCCAGCTCCTCCTGTGGGACCCCAAGGCGTTCCCAGGCCAGACGAAAGGAGGACCCTGATCAGATGCCTGAACCACCTCAACTGACCCCTTTGGAGGCGAAGGAGCAGCGGCTCTACTCTGAGCTCCCTCCTGATGTCCAAGCTTCATACACTGTCTCTAAGGCTGAGCCCAGACACCCCACAGAGGAAACTTGTTTCAGCTACGTGTATCCACAACCTCATTCTTTCGGTCACTACCCAGAGCTCATGACCATAGGTGAGGGTTGGGACGTAGATGGACCAGGAATTGAAAGCTTCGCCTTTGGAAACAGCTCTATTCTAGAGGACCTACAGTCTGTGTTTGAAGGATATATCCAGGATGTCAAACTGACTCAGCAGCAACAACGGGTTAAAAAGACAAAGACAGTTAGAAGCTAAAGCTGAACTATAGGCTACAGATCACAGTGTAAAAGTGAACCACCACATCACTGCTGATCGCCACAGAACACAATGAATATAAAGGGAAACTTCACTGATATTGAACCAGCTGTGTGGCATCGCAGTGTGTGCAGATGAACTGTGTTTGGCAATGCGATGACCCACAGCTGGTTGAATATCAGCAAAGTTTCCCTGCTTCCCTTCACTGGTTCCTGAAAAGCAGGGTCAGACTTTATTTCACAGTTAAAATCATTAAAAAGCAAAAGCAGCATGTGTATACATTCAGTAGGCTATATCTTCAGTAGCTAGCTAGCTAACCCTACACTTTTCAGGCATAACATTTAGCTCCAAATCCACAAAACCAGCCTGAAAATGAAGGAAATCTGAAACGACTGCATTAGGGTCAAAGGAGCACAGCTGTGTTGTGTTCGGACCCTGGTCTGAGCCGGCCGATGCTATGTTATAATTGGCCAGGGGCAGGACTTAGCGAAGGGTCAATTGATAAACCTTTTTTGGCTATCAAAGTCTGTTTGCACTGTTATCCCTTCATTTTTGGGCACTCCACTTCACTTAATGCCATTTGATAGGAAACTTTTTTCCTGGGACCAGAGAGAACCTACAGAGGTGAGTACTATATGTAATTTATATTTAGGTGGGAACTATTTCTCAAAATGCAACTTTTGTAGCTTGTTGCATTGCCCCCATGTGGCCAAAAGGGGTAAGTGCAGGTGAAGAAAAACCCTGGTGGTGGAGGGACAGGAATTCCTAGTGTCGCCCCTGCACACTGCTTATTGCAATCTGTCCAATAGCCACTAACAGCCGGCAGTATATTAAATGGTATTGGATATGACAATAATACTGTGGTTGCTTTGTCATTTTAATTCACTGTATATTTAACAAGTGTCTTAAATGCATGCATTATGTAATTCTGTCTATAAAAACTATTTTTGGGGTTCCTTATAAAATCTAACCCTATACCAGAACCTGAAGGAAGTGGGAACCCAGTGATGTATAAATTAATGAGTGATGGATAGTGTTGACCCTTTGTATTCTGCACTGCATTGCTGTGCTGTAGCTTTTAGACCGGAGCTTCCTCCACTCAGTGACTGTCATCATGGAGGAAAAGCAGACGACTGGAGCCGAGTGAAGAGGACCAAACGCCGCATCCCCATCTTTGTTTCACCTCTTATTATTATCAGAAATCGGTAAGATGGGACTGTTATCTATTATAGCATTGATTTTACTGCTTGTATCTTCTGCACAGCCGACGTTAGACGCTGCACGTCTGTCGCTACGGATTATGCAGAGTGTGTTTGTGCCTTGGGTTGCTAATCAGACCGGAGACCATAGAGCATTATTAACTGATTTTGCTGGATTGTGACTCTCTGAAGGGTGAAATAAAGATTCCAGGGCGTGTTTCTGCGCATTTGCACCGACTGTAGTGTGATAGAAACGATACCGGAGCCACCGAGGCACAAGCTGCAGATTATATGCGCGGTAATCGCTGAGCACCGCGGACAGCTCCCGGAGCTGCGGGCCTGACCTCACCGCTGCTGTCGGCCTCATCCTCAGGCTCATCATTAACACACCTCTCCTCTCATCTCTTCCCTGTTTGCAGGTGATCAATCAGCAGAATCAGCACCGGAGACACCTGACTGGTGACAGCCGCCAACATGAAGCATTTCCTGAGGTAAAGAGACTCCATTGTTGTGCATCATGCAGCGATACAGTTACATTTCATTTACTGAAACATGAAGGGATTCATTCACACTCCCCCTCCTCTAAACCTGTCTTCATATCATATGTTTATCTTCGATCCACTGTAATGGCTTGTTTTTACCAAATACTGCACACTGTGTATTCCCAGCTCTCCCATTTAAGCCCAATCGATTATGATATTGTGGCCAGTAAGTGGCTGCTGTGGTGGAAACTGGTTTGAATGGGTCGTTTGCAGAAGAGGCCTCTTAATTATGGAGCACATGTAAACCCACTGGTGTCTCTATTAATGGATCCGTTGCTCTCTGTGTTTCTGTATTTATTTAGGCTATATATTTTACTATAAAATCTTTGTATTGATAAAGTGTGAATTATGATTTTCAGAGACGTGATCAGGACAGTAATGTAAAATTTTCAACATATTTGTCAATGACCATTGTTATTGTTCATATATAATTATAATGACACTGGTCTTGGTACATTTGTAAGATTTATCTACAGTAAATCCAAATGTGCACAACTGTATATCTATATATTTGTGCACATTTGGATTTACAGTAATGACTCTCAGGTGTTTTGCTACTGGGCAAATATTTGTGCTGTACATAAGACATAAAAGGCACTCAGCTGTATTGATATTAAAGAAACTTAAAAAGAAACATACAAATAGGATTTAGGAAAGTGAAATAGAAGAGAATAGTGGTTTTCAACCAGGGATTCAGGGACCCACAGGTGTCCTTGTGGGAGGTGTAGGGGGTCCCCAGAAAATGGGAAATTGTTTATTCTCATTAATTAATTCACTGAAGAAGTGACCCCAATGTATGTGCCCAAGTAAAGCAGGATTTATAGCTGTGTAGACTCACAAGTCAGTCTTTAGACGCTTTGCTTAACTAAAGACTGATGACTTTCTCCCTGATTTTGTGTTTAGATGGTTTAGATCACATTTTTTTTTCACATCACTGTATCACCGTTTAGACTAATCCAATGTTTGTAAAGTCTATAAACACAATGATTGAACAAACATTACTATTTCTGTGTGCACGTTTACTGTAGCTGGGCTAACCGTTAGCTGTTAGCCCTGTTAGCTGTTAGCGGTGTCTGTAATAGGTAATAACTCATTAAACGGTCCGCGAAAAAAATATCTTATCCAGCGGATATCTTAGTTACAACATGATTGAGCTAGCAAAGCAGTTTTGTGTTGCTATGTGTGGTATTTATTCAGTTTTGGGAAATCACGATGTCTGGAAAGCATCAGTGGTTGCAGCTGACAGGGACAGCTAACAGCAGCAGCAAAGCTAACATCAGGACGTCATCTGTTAAAAGCCTCCCGTTGTCGGATACGACATGAAACTGCTCCAGTTAGCTCAATCATGTTGTAACTAAGACATCCGCTGGAAAAAATATTTTCTTCACGGATGAGCACACGTTTGATAAAACGGAGTTTAATCTCTCGGCATCCATTTTCAAGCTGTGTGTTTGTTTCCTTGCGGACGAGAAAAGGGGGAGCGCACATTTCCGAGAAGGCGTGTCCTTTTCAAAAATGTAAGAGGCGTTGCTTTGTTGCCGGCCGTTTTCGCCGGTGTGTTAAACACAAAGGAGTGTCCCCAGAGTGTCCCCAGACTATCAGAAGGCGGAGATCTCTGATTGTCTGGTGGCGAGACTAATAGCTGTGCGGCAGACCCTACGCACGTCGCCTACGCTGTTGTGAGCATTTATACTTGTGCTGGTGTGTCTGTGTCACTCTGCAGTTACACCTCCAAAATACTAGTCAGCAGCGGAGGTTTCTGTGAAGTGCTGTAAATTTTAGTTGATTCAAAACACACATTAAACATGGCTTAACAGTGACAGTTCCAAACACAAGTACACAAATTGGCTTCACTGCAACTCGCAGCATTCACAGACAAACACTTGTCTTTATCTGGACACATTTTCCCCACAAATACAACATGCTAATGATTTTAGCACAAGCCTGTGGAATTTTACATTGTATAAATTAGCCTAGCAGCTAGAAAACTTTTCCTCTTCTCATATGAAACCAGGGACAACAGCAACATTTAACAAAGGTAACGTTACATAATTTGGCTCCATTACAACTCACACGGTTCACCGGCAAGACAACTGTCTTATACTAAACACGTTTTCCAAACAAATATAACATGCTAACATTATTAGCACAAGCCTATGGCATTTTATATTGTATAAATTAGCCTAGCGTCATATGAAGCCAGGATCAATTACACGCAAAACTTAAAATGCTATTTTTGCGGAGGCTTTATTGTCACACACACAATTTATTGTTTCTTATCTGTGAAATTAAAGTAATTAAAAATGTAGTTTCCACTGAGGGAAATGGTTTCAGCTTACAGAAAAAGACAGGAGGTCTGCGTCGCCACAACGTGTAGTTACATGTCTGGGGAGGTGCACGTCAGGCTATGGCATAGGTGATCTACCAACATGATAAAGAATCCATAACTAAATTTATACAAACTGCTGAAATGAAAAACTGAGCTTTTAATCAATAAGATGTGAAGTATCAGTTTGAAAGTATGGGAAAACTGTGAGATCCTGACACTCAGGGTGCCTACATGCAGCTAGTTTGGCCAGACAAACTGTGGAGGTTGAAGCCAACTAAGCCTGGTTTTGATCTTTGTCAGCTTAGATGATGATCTCCTGTAGTGATTCGATAAAAAATGTATTAAGTGTATTAAGTATTTCACTTCTGAAAGTTCAGTAGGATTATTTCTCTCTCCTCTCTGGCAGACTTAAGTTGTTAAAATAATTCTTTGACATGCTGATATCGAATAATTTCGCGTTTCAGCCCTTGGCTGCATATTGTGGCACAGATAGTTTTCCCCTCCTGTGGGCATGGTTTCTAGAGTGTGACACGTTACACTCTGTCTCTATGCACAGTTGAAGATGTACCGTGACACTTCCACCACAAATTGTTGCATCAAATTCACCAGAGTGCAGGAAATTAAGTGTTTTATGCTCGAAACTTCTCGGGAGAGGACCCCAGACCCTTTGCTTAATATATTCCCCCCCGATGTTGAAAGAAAATCTAAGCCGCTGGTTATAAGAGTAACTATTGAGATCATAAGTTTCACTTCCTCCATGGTTATCTCCTAAACTGTAGTTTACAACTATAGAATTCTGGTCTTAAAGGGATAGTTCAGATTTCTTCAAGTGGGGATGTATGGGGTACTTATACATACACAGTATATCACATACAGTAGAGGTCTGTCGGCAAGCCCCCAGTTTGGAGAAGCAGGCTGGAGTCTGACAGGGAAGCTAAGCAATGTCCTGTTGTTTAAGTTTAAGTATATGCTATATTAAGAATATTTTCACTGCTGTCAGACAGGGATTTTCAACATGAAAATTGATCCACATGAATTGCCCCCTTAAAGCCAGACTCCATTGACAAAAACAGTGATGTTAGCTCGCTGAACACAGGAGCTGCTGGTCTACTGCTGCCTCAGTCAGTTAGTTTGTTTGTGTTATTGTGTGACTGACATTTATGTGGGTTAATTTAGATTCACCAAAGTCACATAATAACACAAACTAACTAACCGATAGAAGCAGCAGTAGACCAGCAGCTTCTGTGTTCAGTGAGCTAAAATTACTATTTTTGTCAATGGAGTCTGGTGGCTTTGATGAGAGCATAGATGGGAACGGAGGCCGTTAACAGCCTCCCTGTCGGATGAGCTGTCTGATGTAGAGGTACAGTGGTGAAAATACTCTCAATATAGCATACACTTATACGGATATAAATTACTTTGGGTGGTACTTTTTAAGGTGGCTAAAATACGTTAGTTGCTGAGGCTCGTTCACAGGGCCTCATTGCTTAGCTTCCATGTCAGACTCCAGCCTGCTTCTCCAAATTGGGGGTGTGCCAACTGACATCTACTGTACGCTCGACAACCCCACTTCAAAAAATCCAATCTCATATCTAACAACCAAATGTAATAACTCTGGTAAAAACTCAGACTCAAATGCAGAGAACACACAGGAGGCAGAGCAGGGTTAAAAATCAACAAAAAACCCCATGGTCTTTACTTCAGTCCAAGAGGCCGTTTACACATGGCTGGCTATTTTCATAAATGGACATTTCACCGTCTCCGTTTTCAAAAAGATCTTCGTTTACACTTACCCGTGTATATATACACAAGAGCATGCCAAACCTGTAGGTGGCAGTGTAACGAGAAGCTCAAGCCTTCCATGTATCCATTGTCACCATAGCAACATAGGTAGCACTTTTGACACAGGCGCAAGTTCCGATGCATACTGTGACGTGGGCTGCCTATAACTCCGTTTATCTCAGTTTATCTCAGTTTACATGCAAACGCGCAACTGGAGTTTTCCAAAATCTCCACTCTGGCCGGAGTTTTTAGAAAGACTCGTTTTCAGATCTCAAATCTCAGATTTCAAATCTCCGTTTGCGTGTAAACGAAGGGCACAAACGAAGGAAGATGTCTCCGTTTATCAAAATCACCGTGTACGTGTAAATGGCCTCCAAAAAGATAGTAGACAAACAAGGTGTCCAAAAAAGCTAACAAAATGGACAGGGAGGGCAAAACAATCCTTAAATCCCAAACAAGATGATGGCTAAAGGATAATCAGGGGCAGGTGTGTAATTGACAGCAGGTGTGGTTGATGAAAGGCGGGAAAACACAGGAAACTGCAACGACACAAGAGGTTAGTACTTCAAAATGTAATTGGAAATATCAACAAAATCCAGCATGTTACACCAAAATATTTTCAGAAGGAGGAGAAGAGAAGGTGTATCAAATGGGGGTCCATGACCTAATGTGTATCAGTTTGAGGGTCCTTGACACAGTGAAGGTTGAGAATGACTGGAGTAGAAGATTAGTAGAAATAAGCTGAAATGGAATAAAACAGAAATACTGAGAGTATAAAAGCTACAGCGCTGTGACAGTGTAGCACAGGATATAAATACAAAGTTCCTAATCTCATTGAATTAAAAGCTTTGGTGTATACATTCTTTACAAATCAATATATCATAGTAAATGCTGTTTTACTGTTTAGTCACGGCTGACAAATGACAACATTATAAATAAATAACTGCTTTCTCACACCAGTGCTTCTGTTCTCTCCCAGCTCAGACCACATTTCCCATAAATCCCGTCGTTTCCTGCCTCCTGCGTGAGATGATAAAATGTTTGACTCCTTCGGCTTTGGTCTCAAAGATAATAGCTTCATTACTTCTCCTGAACAGTGGAGCCCAGCTGAGGCTGCCAAATTTGTTTCACCAACGGCTTTCACAGTTTGTTTACAGTAATTATACTAATGTGGTGAAATGAATGTGGTAATAGTTTACTGATGCAAAAATGATTCATGCTCCACCTCTTAATGGGTTTGGCTGGTCAGAGTAGTGAGAGTAATTTAAAGGGGTGCTACAGTGATTTAGTGTTGCACCTTCATACAGTTGGGGAATGGTAAAAGACAGTTAAACAAAAAATGAAAGCAGCAGAGATGGAGATGGCCTGACTTTTTGTGGGTTTGTCCCCTAATATGCAACCATCTTTTTGTTCCAGACTTCCTGTAAAAAAAAAAATAAATAAAAAAAAAAAAGTTAAAATAAAATAAAGTAAAATAAGATAAAATGAAATAAAATGAAATAAAATAAAATGAAATAAAATAAGATAAAAATGAAATAAAATAAAACAAATACAATACAATTAAAAAAAGAAAATAAACGTTAATCGTTAATAAAATATTTGCATAAATACAACTGATGATAAAACGATAGAAAAGTCATTAAAAAGCAAGTCTACATAATGAGTTTTTAAAGAAGACAGTGTTTTAGCTTTCCTGCTCTCCTCCTGTAGGTTCCTCCACAACTGAGGGGCCCCAACAGAGAAGGCCCGTTCACCTCTAGTTTGAAGGTTTGACTGTAGAGTGACCTACCAGAGGACCGCAGGTTGCGTTCACTCTCGTAGGAGGTCAGGAGGTCAGCTATGTATTTTGGAGCTAACCCCCTACGAGCCCTAAAAGTGATCATTAAAAATTTAAAATCCACTCTAAGATGTGCCGGAAGCCAGTGAACTGATTTTTAGACTTGTGTGATTTGCTCTCTGTCTGACCTGGTTGTGAGTCTGGCTTTGAATCAGCTGAAGTTGTTGTTGTGAGACATGAGAGAAGTGCATCGCAGTCATTTAAAAGTGCTGTTTCAGATTTTTGAAAATTTTCTTAACTGGAGAAAACATGGAGTCAAATATAAGTCCGAGGTTTCTGCAAGAGTCAGTAATGTTAGATGAGAGGAGACCAAGATGGAAAGAAATGTGATTTTGTGATGAGTCTGGACATCTTAATCTTGGATTTTTCAGAGTTTAATTGTAGAAAGTTTGATGCCCTCCAGTTGTTGATAATTTGTATATCATCTTCAACATCCATATCTTTAAAACTCCACATTTCAACAGACTTTCTGTTATACAGTAAATTTGTAGTCTTCAGGCCCAAACTGACTGTCTTTCTGAGCTCCTTCAAACCCACACAAGACATGTGAGGTCCGTCCCAGAATACCACACTTGTGCAGTGTCTGCAAGTCCTCAAGTGCGCCACTTGTGTGATGTATTTCCGGTAACTGCCACAGCCCCCAAGTGCCAGTTAAGACAGATTAAATAGAGTTCACTGGGACATGCTTAAAATGAATGAGGCCATCCCGTTGTTCAAACAAATTCTCACAAAGTAGATGTAACAAAGAAACCTCTGCAACCACCAACCATGCCAATCATGGTCAAGATTATTGTCCTCAATTTTGGAAAGTCTTGTCAGAGTAGCATGAACACTGGATTACCTCATATCTCACAAATTTCGAGGATTGAATGGCAGATTACCAATCATTTTCCCAGTCGATACTAGTTAGGGAGGAATTTAAATCCCGTTCTAGGTGGAGGTGGTGCTGCACAGGCTAATGATATATATTGGCCACTGTACCTGGTGGTGTTTGCCTTTCAGCCAAGTCACCATAGGAAAATGTTGGCATTGTGTGTTTCTGCAAGCTGCAAATATCTTACATTTGTGTGTTTCATATGTATCATATCAACATTTTAGAAGTGTCGTAGTATTTAAGATGACTTTGTCTTCTGGATGTGGAGGGGATGGTGGATGGTGTCGCACCAGGAGATACATCTGCCAAGCTGCAGAACACTGTTTCGGACACAAAAACAAAACTGGTTGTGAGTTTAAGCGACCCGTTGCTGTTTTTCCAGCAGCTTTTAAGGCTCCAAATGTGGGTGTTTTGCAGGGACCAGTCTGTATTTTCCCAGTGGCTCTTTTCGCAACCTGTTGCAATTTTTATAGTGGCTTTTTTAGTGACCTGTGGCAGTTTTCCAGCAGCTTTTTTAGCGACCCCTTACTGCTTTTCCAGTAGCTTTTAAGGCTCTAAATGTGGGTGTTTTGTGGGGACCCATCTGTTTTTTCCAGTAGTTTTCTTAGTGATCCATGGCAGTTTTCCAGCAGCTTTTTACACACAAAATGTGGGTGTTTTGCAGTGACCAGTCTGTGTTTTTCCAGCGGCTCTTTTCGTGACACATTGCAGTTTTTACAGTGGCTTTTTTAGTGACCTATTACAGTTTTTACAGTGGCATTTTCAGTGACCTGTTGCTGCTTTTACAGCAGCTTTTTAAGCTCCAAATGTGGGTGTTTTGTGGGGACCCATCTGTGTTTTTCCAGCAGTTGTCTTAGTGATCCATTGCATTTCTAGCAGCTTTTTACACACAAAATGTGGGTGTTCTGCAGCGATTCGTCTGTGTTTTTTTGCTGATTTTCAAGCAGCTTTTTAGGCTCCAAAAATGAGTGTTTTGCAGCAGCAAAGCTTTCTTAGTGATCCATCGCTGTTTTTCCAGCAGCTTTTTACACACAAAACATGGGTGTCGTCTGTTTTTTTTCAGTGGCTTTTTTAGTGACCCATCGCTGTTTTTTCAGGGGCTTTTTACACACCAGATGTTGCTGTTTTGTGGTGACCTGTCACTGCATTTCCAGCAGATTTTTAGGTATGAAAAGCAATTGCTTTTTTACTGAGACATTGTTGCTTTTTCAGCCAGGATTGTGCCCTTCCAACCGGGTATTTTAAGCCAAAACATAACCACACATTAACCACAATGTTGAAATGTAAAGTTGTAACATATTTGATACATGATGATGTATAACTGTAATGTATCCTGGGTTTGCAGAAGCGTACAGTGCCATCGTTTTTTCTGGTGATTGCATTGTGTCTTCATAAGGTCACATTCTGAGCAAGAGGCAGAGGCAATACTATCTTTATGCTTCTTTTTAATCAGTGATGATAATTGCACAAATGTAAGAAAATAGTCAGTCAAACCAAACTGTTTAATTTGTTTATAACTGTGTAATTTATTTGTCCACTGGTCTTTATATGATACATTTACATTGCCCCTGCCTGTTAGGCAGAACATACATATTCATTATGTTTAAAATAGAATATAATTAACAAAGCACCTGAGCTTTATTAAGGCATAGTGTCCCTATGAGTTCTACCACACCTCAACACATCTGCAGTCCTAACCAACAATGAGCCCAGTGGATGTTACCCAAATTTGTCGTATAAGTCTGCACATGGCTAAATACTGCAAGTGAGGGTATTTGGACTGACTGTGAATTCATAGAGTGCTCCTTTAATATAAGACATTTTCTTTGTATCAGTCCTCCCACCATTACCCGCTCTTGGTGCTCGCTCCTTTGAAGGTTAAGAAAATGACAGTGTGTGTCTATATGAGCTGTTTAACATGCCGGTCTCATCCGCAGGACTAGCAGGAGGAATTAATCCTTCAGAACTGTATTTACCTTCTTTTTATGTTGACATGGAGGATGATGTTATGCTGTGATCCGTCAGTGCGAGGAGGATTTATTTCTGCCAGAAAAGGTTGTACATGCCACAAGAACAGACAAAGAGGGAAGCGAGGCTCTGCTTGTGCAGCTTGCAGGTTATGTTGATGAACAGTATGTTCTCAGCGTCATTTCTAATGTTAGTCCTGATAATAGATGGAATAAAAACACCTGGGTCCTAAATCTGTGCTTCAGGATCATGAAGTCAGATGATAGAAGGTTTAGCTGCTTCCCTCCTTCCTTCTTTCCTAATGTTCAGCGTTAAATGAAGCAGTTGGAGGCTGTGAATCATGTATTCCCTACTGTTTCTTAATGGGTCGCTGTGCATTTCCCAAGACACACATCTCCATTTTCATTCTCAGTGTCACCTGTAAAAATAGCACACTTTGATCAGCTGAAAGTCTAACCTAAAGTACAACACAGTATTCTGACTCTGTTTGCTTCGTATCTTACTCCCTCATATCTTTGTTTCATTAGATGTTTCTCTACAGTGATGATTTATCCATCTGACATATTTTTATTTTACAAAATTTTAGGATTTGTACTTCAATCCCTCCTAAAGTACACAGCTCTGAAGAAGACCCTGCAAATGAAACCCTCTAATTTTTTTCTTGTAAATCTACCACTTTAATCTTGGAAAACAAAGCAGTTTTTTCTCATATTTGGTACTTTTATTTTTATGTTTTTCTACCTATAGTGGCCCTAACACATTGTTGTAGGATAGTTTTACCTATTCGGGACTCTAAAACTGACAACATAAGAAGGTACTGCTTGGCTATAGAGTAAAAAACAAAAAACATTGTGAATCAGTGCTCGATACTACATGTACATATACACGTGTCATCATCAGTCTAATCCCTCCTGTCTTCTCCTCCCCAGAGTGGTGACCCAGTTCTTTGTGTTCCTCTACTGTAAATGTCTGTGGCGGGGCCTGAAGTTTGTCGCCAGGAAGTTTACGGGGCGCTGCGAGCTGCAGAGAATCTGCTACAACAACAAGCATGGAGCCCGCAGGACCCTCAAGATAGGTAGGCCCACACACTGCCTGACATTTGTTTTCAAATTCATCTTTATTTAGTTCATTTATATATAAAACCAACTATTAATTTAACACAGCTTTACGCTGATTGATGGCAACAACATGCACATGTCATATCTAAAAGCCTTTTTTAGAGTTCCAACAACAGCTTGATGGATATTTTCTTGAGTGCACAATAACAAACATCATGAGACAGGAAAATAGAGAGAAAAATACAGAGAATGTTTTTGCTAAAATAACCCTTTATCATGGGCCGATTATGACACAGACATGTTAAAAAAAAACAACACCTCTTCTCCTTAGGGCTGAAAACATACACACAGACTTAGTGGTCATTTTGCCTCTTCTTTTATCTTAGTCATTTTGTGTCCTTTTTTGTTGTTTTGTGTCTCTTGTTGGTTGTTTTGCCCCTTTTTGTAGTTATTTTGGGTCTTTTTTGTGTTTTGTTTTGAGAGGGGTCTCTTTGTAGTCATTTTGTGTCTCCTCATAGTCATTTTGTGTGTTTTTTGGTTGTTTTGTGTCTCTTTGTAGTCACATTGTGTCTCTTTTTGGCTCTTTTTTCTGTCTTGCTGAGGTTTTTTTTGCATCTCTTTGGTTGTTGTGCCCCCTTTGTACTTGGTGTCTTGTTGGGGTCATTTTGTGTCTTTTTTTATCTCTTTGTAGTCATTTTGTGTCTCTTTTTGTCCCCCCTTCCTCTTTTTGTTGTCATTTTGTGTCTTTTTTGGTTGTTTTGTTTCTCTTTGTAGTCATTTTGTATCTTGTTGCGGTCATTTTGTGTCATTTTTTTTGTGTCTCTTTGTAGTCACACTGTGCCTCTTTGTTGTGTCTTGTTGAGGTTATTTTGCGTCTCTTTGGTTGTTGTACCCCTTTTGAAGATATTTTGTGTCTTGTTGGGGTCTTTTTGTGTTTTGTTTTGGGGGGGTCTCTTTGTAGTTGTTTTGTGTCACTTTCTGTTTTCTTTCCCCTTTTTGTAATTATATTGTGTCTTTATGGTTGTTTTGTGTCTCTTTGTAGTCATTTTGTGTCTCTTTGTAGTTATATTGTGTCTCTTTGGTTATTTTGCACCTTTTTTGTAGAGATTTTGTGCCTGTTTGTTGTCTTGTTGTGTCTCCTTTTGGTTGTTTTACACCTTTTTGTAGTTATTGTATGTCTCTTTGAGGTCATTTTGTGTATTTTTTTAATGAAAATTAAGCTTGCATGATAGGTATATACCTTGGACAAATAGTAGTTTTCACATTTTAAACTACTGTATATACTAAATGAGTATCTCCCTTCGTTCCTTTCTAATTTTTTTTTTTTTTTTTTTTGAAGCTCAAAAATGGTTCTGCTTTTAATGTTACTGTATGCAGTTGTCTGAAACTTTCCACTTTTTCCTTCCAGAATCATCTCTGAGATACTCCAAGACTGAGGTATGGGTCTCCAAAATCTGTAAATATAAAGTATGAATATGGGGTGTTGCTCAGTTTTCTAGCTTCAGCCTTCCTCTTCCTGTCCCTTTTTTGTTTTTGCCATCTTCCTGTCGTTTCTGGTCTCGTCCCCTCTAGCTGCTGCAGTCCGCCCTCAGCGTCCATCCTGATAAAGTGGAGAAAACCATTGAGGACATCATGGCCTTGAAGAAGATTAACCCTGACACCAACCCACAGTGAGACACATTATCACATTTCTGTTATCACTTATGGTAGGGTGTTGTGGTAAATCAGTGTCAACACACGGAATCCCCAGACAACCTGTGAAAATGCGGTTCTGGACGGGGAATAAATAACACATTCCTCTCCCTCAGCGAAAACTACTGAGCTGCCCTTGAGCAAGGCGCTGAACCCCCACCTTCTCAAACCGAGCTGATAAGAGGCTCAGAACAAAAGACATTAATTGATCTGAATTCCCTCATATTTTCCTCTTTCCTGTGTGTCCCTCAGGCTGGGCATCTCTCTCCAGGCCAGCCTGCTGCAGATTGTGGGCTACAGGAGCCTGGTGGCTGAAGTGGAGAAGCTGCGCAGGGAGCCTTATGATTGTGAAAACCCTGAGCACGAGGACCTGCTGATGAAGGTACACCGCTCTCTGTGCCTGTATAAAGTGCAAAAATAATCGCAACAGTAGGAATAATCATTTTTCTTTGTGTTAAACCGGTGAAATGTCTGCCTGCTGAAATAAACTCAAGCTACCTGCAACCCTTCACAAGATAATCCATGGTTCCAATGCAAGTAAACAGGGGATCGCCTGTTTACTTGCATTTGTTTACCAGCAACCTGCAGTTTTTCTGGATAAAAGCACTATAACATTAAATATAGATACATAAAATACAAATGAAGAGCATATGTGTATTTCCCAAACTGTGAAATAATACTGGACTGAGCTGTGGTGTGTGTGTGTGTGTGTGTGTGTGTTGCAGCTGTGGAAGGAGCTGCGTCCTGACACACCTCTCACCGGACGCATCTCCAAACAGTGGTGTGAAATTGGTTTCCAAGGCAGCGATCCCAAGACTGATTTCAGAGGCATGGGCCTGCTGGGCCTGCACAACCTGCTGTGAGCTCTCTGTCGCTTCACTTTCTCTAAAACACTGATCATAATCCAAATAACTAGTCAGACCATGTTGCACTGTGATTCACATTCACAAGTCCTTTGAGAAAACTGTAAATTACCAATGTAATCTGCAGTGAGAGAATAGCTACCAGCTGGATTTAGTAACAGATAATTAATATCCTACATATGCACAGGTGTTGGGCTGAGTTTGATCTTCAAATTAAATGCTTCCTAAATTCCCTTTCTGTTAATTAATCATCTCTCTGCAGGTACTTTGCAGAACACGACAAGGCCACTGCTCTGCAGATGCTCCACGACTCTCTGCAACCAAAGCACAAGTATGGCAGCCCTCCTTTTCTCAAATTTTACCCAAAGCATGAAAAATTAAAGGAATACACCAAATGTTCTGGCAGAAAGACTCTTTGATTGACCGAAGTGTTGTCAGGAGAACAGGGACTCCTGGATAGTAGGTGTCCAACACTGAGGAAACTTAAGGTTTTAGTAGATGTAACTACTTGGTAAGAGACTAAAACTACGATAAATTTATTCATCCATAACAGTACGGTCATTATAGCTCCCATCCTAATCAGCAAATTCTCATCACCAGTGTCCATAATGTTCAATAATAAAGCAGATTGGAATCTACTTTATGATAATAGTACTGCTCATAGGTGCCATAAAATAGCAAAATGCATCAGATGTTTAAGTTGATATTAAACAAAACTACAGTATTGCATACAGCAATCGCAGCCAAAGCTAAAGCTAAAGTGCCAGATATTTTTTCAAGAGTTGGTGGAGACCAAAACTGAGCAAGAAGGAGAGGGAGTAATGAGCTTAAATTCATCAATTGGTCAAAAATACGACTCCAAATGAATATTACTGTTGCTCTGCATGTGCGAATGTTCAACTGTTGGCTTACAAGTTCACAATATTTACTTTATAAGGTGATAAAATAGTAAATGTTGTGTTTTCAGCTTGTTCCGCTGCCCCTTGTGGACAAAACAAAAATTAATGCAGCTTTAAAGTCTTTCTACCAGACATGTGGTGTATCCCTTCACCTTTAAACTGCACTCAGTCATCCATTAATCTGCATTTACCATATTCTGCTTGATTATATTCATTCTTACAGCTTGATGTCATTCACTGTGTCCTCTTTTATCGACTGCTGCTGCTATTGTTTGTCATCGGCATCTCAGTGAGCTGTCTCATTTCACGAATGAAGACTCTTCTTCTTTTTCTTCTGCACCTTCACCTCCACCTTTCTGCCCATGCCTCCCTCTCTGACTCTCACATGCACTGTTGTAGGAGCACACACAGAAAGCCAAGGTACTTTCATTCTTTTCACTGCATTCATAGCTTTTCTGTTTTGGGTTGATGTTTCATGCAGTTAAGGTCGCACTGAGAATGATTTATGTACATGTTATGTCTGCTTGGTCATCTCATTAGCAATAGGCAGAGAAATGCCATGAAAATGTATTTATTTAACACACTTTCTGAATGGATAATATCTTGATGATTGTGCCGCCACATTTGTACTTATAAGAGGAAAAAAAATAGCAATTATAGTTTTAGTAATTGCAAAGTAGATCAATCACACCCTTTATGGGGAATTGATTATGTGTGTATAATATTTTAAAATGGATTTAATAAGTTAAACATGAAGTTTGGGAAGTCAACAGTAGGTTCCCAGGAGGAAAGTCTGGGGATTGTTGGAACCATCAACCACCCCTCCCACCCACCATATAGGGACTTTCCAGCTCCTTATATTATATTGTTACTGGCAGCGTTTCAAACTGGCCTATGTGGAGTCAACACTCCGCTCAGCAGCAGACTCTGCTGTAGTTCTGTATTGCACTAAACTTAAAGCCCGCCCACCTTTTAGCAGTCCAATCAAATGAGCAGGATTTGATTTAAATCTCTTTTGTAACTTAACACCACAGGGAAATATGTCACAGCACAGATGTGCTAACTTCGGTTTCATAGGGACTTTAACCAAGTTATCCTTTTCTGGCAGAAAACTCTATGGGTAAACCTTTCCCAACAGCCATCTTAGTGTCTCCACACTGTCATTCTCAATGGACAAAAATGCCACTTTCTACCATGAAAAATCACCAATAAAGCTTCTAAACACAACCAGACATTTTCTTGCAATAATATGAGCCAAAATTGGGCAGAAATTAATAAATACCAGCAACCAAGATGACATGTTTCCCTGACGTTAGCATGTAGCTACATATAGCAGTGTACTTGTGGCCAGGGAATGAGTGTAACGGAGTAAAGCCGTACTTTCTCCTCTTAAAAATCACCAATAAAAGCTTCTTAACACAGCTGGGCATGTCCAAGTAGGAATGTGATCCAACATTAGAAAAGAATTAACAACATTGTCATACAAGTTTATATGTTTCTCTGGTGTTAGCATGTAGCTACATGTAGCAGTGTATTTGTAGCCAGGGAATGATTTGAACAGAGTATAGCGGCACTGTTTGCTGTTAGAAGTCACCAATAAAAGCTTAACAGAACCAGACATGTTCTAGCAGGAACATGATCTGAAATCAGGGAGAAGCTGACAACACTGGCAACCAAGATTACATGTTTAACAGATGTTAGCATATAGCTACATGTAGCAGTGTATGAAATGCTTGCAGAAGCGTGCCTGAAGCAAATTACCAATAAAGACATCTGGTGCGATCTGATATCATCTTGTAGCCAAAACAGAAAAAAACATTGGAAACAGCTTTCAGAGAAGTCATGTTTGATATGAACATTCGACACTGTGACATAAGGAAAACATAAAAGGTCCCCTTTAAGAAGGACGCTCATAAAATGTCATTTTATTGTGACTTTAAGATTTCTCAGTATGTTGCACTGAGTGCTATTTTACATGTAGATAATACATAACTCAAGTCTTGTGTCCTTCACAGTGAGATAAACAAGCCTGAATGGGAACAGAAGAATCTAGACAAAGCTATCGGGTAAGTGTTTGCACATGCACTGTAAGATGGCATGCATGAGTGTATGGAGGAGGCAAAACTGGGCTGCTGCTGCTGGAGCTGTGTGAGTTTTGGCCTCAATACAGAGCAGTCTTAGTAGCGGAGGGGCTTTGTGATGCGGCCATGGGAGTGTGTATATGTAGAAAGTGTTTTACTGCTGTGTGTCCTCCTGTCCTCTGCCTCCAGTCTGCATCAGCGCTGATAAGCACCAAGGACTGACTCTGAAAACACACACACACAGTCGAGCTAAATCCTCCTACAAAATCCACACGGTATTGTAAGGACACTCCAGCAGAGCAGCAAGCTGTAAACTGCAAGTCATTTACTGTGACAGAGTTCATGATTGGTACACAGTGCTTTACTCTCACATCCAAATGGTCCACCACATCACACACATTTGAACCTCGTGTACTTTGCCATGAAGTAAAAGCTGGGACACAAAGGATGTTGACTATTTCCACTTGTGTTGCTAAAATAAATTATATTAGATGTTTACTTTGATTTTAACCCCCTATAGTCTCAGTTCCACTAGCTTCTTTAAGTCAAGTTGACTTAATTTAATCTATATATCTTTAATATCACAATTCAAAAAATTTGCGTCAAAAACACAGTCAGTTTCTCCTGGTGAGGATTCCTTCAGTGTTCAGAGTTCAGGAGGTTTTTCCCGGGAACTGAATTATCTACAGGTGTCTCATCCAAAACAAACAGACCAGGTGATTTAAACCAGTAAAAACACTGAATAATGCTGTGCCATGTTGAAAATCAGTGTTTCTGACAAGCTGTTTGGCACGGCAGGAACTGGAGCCGATTCGTCGCTAACATTTGCTCAGCTTGTTTCTCTGATGACTAAAATCCTTCATCTTTATTTCATTGATCTTTCTCAGAAGAATATAAATGTGTTCCTGGGATTTACTGGAGACAAAATTGGCATTCAGCAGGTGACATGCAATTAAAAGCTGTAACCTTTGATATCTTCACAAAATTCAGCAACAATTTATTCATCAGTGTACAAAAAGTTACAGCTCCTACAGTATGTAGGTCTATGGTTTGGTTTCATCCATATCCAAAATGCTTAACAACACACTCTTCTTAAGTTTTATTTCTAACTTTTTAGCTGTACCCATGGACTTTTATTCCATTTGAAAGTCTTGTGGTGTGTCTTAAATCACATACTTCCCTTCAGGGTCCAAAATTAACACTAGCCACTAGCCAAATGCTAGTAAAATAAGCAAGTGGCCAGTAAACTTGCTTTACTCACCAGCCAAAAAAACAATGATAATCTATTGAGTGGCTGGTAAAGTTTGAACATTCACTAGCCATTTGGCCGGTGAGTCAAAAAGTTAATTTTGGACACTGCTTCCATTAGTACACTTCTATGTAGTATACTATGTACACTATGTACTCATTGGCGTAGTGCGCAAATTTTGACAGGGTAGTGTTGTCTCAAATCAAACACGGCCGTTGTGCACTCTGAAATGACGACCGCAAATTAGCTAGTTAGCAAACTAGCATTAGCATTTGCGTTATTGTTCGCGGTACCAAATCATTACAGACTGCTAAATTAACCCAATAAACATACTGCTGGCTTATACCCGACAACAGTATAGTGGTGCTTAGTGCAAAAAACGTGTATTTGTACAATGCAGCGACGTTCACTGTCACACAGTCCTTGGCCGCCATTTTTGAAAAGTGGTCCCTCCCCTTCCGCTATTTAGCCAAGATGGTGACCACTGAGGGCAAGAAGTGTCCATAGCACCATCCAGGTACTCATAGTGCACTGCATTTTCCATACTTCTCAGTGTGAACGCACTTATGCACTCAAAATATTAAGTGTAAGTACAGAAGTACGCGATTTGAGACACAGCATTGGACCACAGCATGGTGTTTGTTAAAGTCTGTTAAAAACCACATCACATATACTCCCTTAGTGAAATCACACAAAACACACAAGAAGAACACACAAAAACTTCCTACAAACTAACTTCTCTATATTTATCTCCTCTCCCCAGCTACTCTTTTGCCATTGTGGGCATCAACATCACAGACCTGGCCTACTCTCTGCTGGTGAGTGGAGCTCTGAAGACCCACCTGTACAACGTGGCTCCAGAGATGCCGAGCCTGCTGCACTTTCAGCAGACCTTCTGTGAGTTCAGTTGATTTTCTGTAACAAAGATATCAACCAAGATCACGCCTTTGTTTTTGCTTATACTTTGAATTGCTTCAAAATGTTACTTATTTTAATTCATTGGTAATTTTCACCATTAAAGTAAGGACATGCTGGTAAGATAAGTAAGAAAAGTATCTAGTAATCTAGTATCTAGTAATAATGTGATCCATCATTATTGTAAATATATTAATTATATTCACTTTAAAGAACATAAAAGATCAACTTGTTTTTCCTCTTCTCCATGGCAGGTTACCTGATGCAGGAGTTCCACCGTTTCTGGATCGAGGAGGATCCGAGCGACATCATGGAGTTCAACCGGGTCCGCTCCAAGTTCCACCGGAGGATCCTGCGACAGCTGAAGAACCCAGACATGGCTCTGTGCCCCCACTTCTCCGCCTCCGACCTCCACCTGGTCAACCTCTAAACACACATCCCCTGAGCCCTGTGACCCTCCCCACTACCCCCCACTGATCCCTTCATACCCCCACAGTGGTCTCCCCTGGATGTCCGGTAGGCAAACTAAAAAAAATCAGAAAACCCTTTACCCTCACACACATGGTTCCTCAAACTGCTGGACACATCTGGGGAGACTTCTCCCTCCTCTGCTCAGCCCACCTTGTCCCAGCTAACGTCATGTCGCGTCACTGCCAAAAGCTCACTCAACCACTACACACACACACACAAATACACACACACACATATGTACACACACACACACTGCCTCTACGCCCTCACTGCAGCGTTACACCACCAGCATCAGAGATGACCATAGCGATTGTAGCTGTGCATGAGGAGGCTGCACCACACCACTCATCATTATCTGTTGCTTTAATGATTCATGACGATTGTATCACAGCCGTTACACCTCAGTTGCGAACCCGTGCTTCTTCTCATAACAAACCAAATTTACTTTCTCAGCCAAAAAAAAAAAATCCCTCTTTTAGACTGCAGCTTAGGGCTCATCAGTTCAGAATATTTTGGCAATTAACTGGTCAGGCTTTCAGACACAAAACCAATATTTTGTATTCAAACTGAAGAGCTATAGATATATAGTGTACGTTTAAATGAAGCATTAAAGAAATGTTGCTGGCGCTGATTCAATCAAAAGCTGTACGAAGGCCAGTTCATCTTTTAGCTTTGTCTGTATTAGGTCATCAATATAGATTGTACTGTACTTTTTATGTCTACGTGACATTAGCACCTAAGACTTCTCCTTGCCAAAATATCGAATGTGGAGAACTTACAATCACAGCAGTAGTTTGTTTCTTGTGAGCTCAGATGTACGTTTTGTAAACCTGCGAAATTATGTTCATTTATATTTTAAGACAGGCACAGTTCCCACTTTGGATACTAAATAAAGCTAATTAACTTTTTTTCTTTGTTTTTTTTAAATTTCTTCACACACATCACCCAAAACAATGAAAATAAATGAATGAACATTTTTTGCAGGTTTGCAAACGGTGTTTTTTGCCTTTGCTTTGACCCTTACGTGTGCAGAGATTCTGTTATGAATGTTTCTCACATGCTCACATTCACGATTGTTTGACTCTATTTTAATTCATTGAATGTGACACTGTGTCCACTGTTGTATCAGCCAAAGCAATAATTTACATTCATTTCACTGCACATCTCTTTTAAATGTATTGATTTGCACCATGCGTGCCTAATTATTTGTTTTATTTTATAACTCTGAGCTGGAATGCTGATCAACGTATAGCTGCTACATGTAGCGTTTAATGGAGGTAAAATATTACCACTGAAGACATTCATGTGATTACTGTAAACAAATGTCCCCTGGCAGCCGCTGTGCTGCTTTTTACAATGTCCAAATTTTGCGGGAAAACGAAGACATATTTGTCCTTTTTTAGTGAAGCCAAAGACACGGAGGACTGACAGGAAGCATTCACAGAGAATGTAGTCTTAATGTTCTTGAGCATGAATGTGATCTTATCTCCTCTCCACCGTGATCTCATTTGCTTACAGTAAAGTGTCGACTTAGCAGAGATTTACTAATGTTCGTAAAAGTGCTACACATAGAAGCTTTAACAAGCAACAACCAGAGAAATAAGACGTTAAATGTAGAGCTGCTCCATTGAGAATGAATGAGGTAGTGATTTATACTAATGCAGTAAAGAGGTGACGGTGAAAATGTAAGAATGCTAAGGTGGAGGCGTTGATCAGCCAGTCAACACAGGAAAATAAATTACTTTTTTATTAACGTGGTATTACTAGATGTCACTGTCAGCTCTCTACTGTGGACTTCAGACTGCAGAGTCCTGGCCAACGAAGGTAACACTCTGAGGAAAATTGAATTACTGCAAACAAAAATACAACTATAACATTTTCAAATAAATTTTCTAAAAAATCTGTGTTTATCGCCATAAATGATACGCACCTTGTGGTCCCGTAAACATGATTCATAGTTGTGCATAGTCCTTATGTAAAGCCTATGCCGAAGCCTTTGCAAGTGGCCTTCACCGTTGTGAGCATTCATAATTGTGTGCTGGTGTGTCACCTTCGCTCTGCAATTACACCCCGAAAATGGTAGCTTGCAGTGGTGTTTCTATGCCACTATATTGAGTTTCTTTGTGCACGTCAAAAAATGGCGACTGGAACTGAGAGGATCATGTTGGAGTTGGCGTTAGTTGTGGCTGGAGGCATTATGTTTTCGGGTTTTCCCTTCATCCATCCTTTTGTCTCACTTCTGAACACGGTATCTCAAGAATGCATCGAGGGAATTTTTTATTTTTTTTTTCAAATTTGGCACAAACGTCCACTTAGACTGAAGGATGAGCTGATTAGATTTTGTAGGTGAAACATCAAAGTCACTGTGACCTTGTCTGTTTCATTCTCTTGAATGCAATATCTCAAGAACACCTTGAGGGAGTTTCTTCAAATTTAGCACAAACATCCACTTGGACTCAAGGATGATTAGAATTTGGTGGTCAAAGCTCAAAGGTCAAGGTTACTGTGACCTCACAGAACATGCTTTGGCCATAAATCAAGAATTCATATGCTAAATATAACAAAATTGCACACAAATGTCAAATAGGATAAAATGACATTTTATATACAAAAGGTCAAATTTCAGCTAAAACTGTGCTGATTGTATAGATCTTCTTTGCTGCCGGGGGGTGTGATGTGTGTGAAGCGTCCATGTTTTCACAGACATGGATGTCAACTGTAAATGCAACTTGAGTGATGCGTGGAGGCGTACAACCGCTAGGTGGTATTCTAGTTATTGATCTGCTATCATGTGGGCACTTTTTTCCCACCTGGGTCCCCTCTCCTAGCAAGTCTTTTTCAGAGGCAAAATGCCTATGAGAAAATGCGAAGCTACCAAGTGGACTAATCACAGTTGTGTGGTCTGTGTCGCCGCAATGTTTATCTATACTTCTTGGTAGGTGCACATCAGGCTTCCGGATGTATTAAGAGATCTGGATACAGCATTGAATGTGGGACCCTAGTGCCCATAGAGCAAGTGCGCTAAGACTTACGCCGGCCGAGCCAACTACTTATGGATTTGCGCTACTTTAACTTGAATGAGAATAAAATGATTTAATCTTGCGGCTCTTCTAGACTTTCCAAATATTATTGGACCGAATGGATTAAATCTGATAGTGGAATGAGTCAATATGCGCGGGTTGTGATGCTCAAAAAATGTATCCATTGATTTATAGATGTCTCTTTCCCAGTGTAAGTCAATGGGAAAAAGGCTTTTAGGGCCCAATGGCATCACGTGACGGACCTCTAAAATTGCAGTACCACTGTTTGGACACTATGAAAATTGACCAATTCCAGCTGCGACCCTGTTTTTTCCCATTCTCCACAAGGAGTCATATGGGAAAAAGTCTTTTTGGGCCCCCTGGCATCGCATGACGGACCTGGTCCGTTTGGCCACTACAAATATTGGCTTAAAATTGGCTGAGCTGGCTACGATACGCATCTACGCTGTATCTACGCCGTACTGATAGTGTAGATTCAGTGCAGAGGTATAAACTGGCTTTAGATTTGCCTTGCGACTTCTTCTGGTTTCTTCTTGGTTTGGAACCACTGCAGTAGATGACTCTCCTTTAAAAACCCCCAAAACAGTCACCATCTAATTGATTGTCTGTGGAGCATCAGTTTGATTGTTATCTCAGCTCTGAGTCATACTTTTTCTTTTCACTGAGAGATAAATCGTCTGACACACGTGTACTTCTTCACAGCTGTGTTGCTTCACTTGAACATGTGACCACTGTATTTATCATTCATGAGCATTCACATCATGTGATGATGCTGACAGCTCTGACAAATGTAGGATATAATTTTACTGCCATGCTTGCACTGTTGATTGTGTTGATAATAGTATTGAATATCTTGCTCCATTGAAGTGAACGTCAATGCTTTTTCTTTCTCCTGTCAGTATTAAGCAGCCGGTATTTAAGTGAATGTCAGTGCTGGTTTCATTTCCTGCTTGCGTTTCGTTTTGCTTTGCTATGGTCAGCTTTGCACTACTGTAAAAATAAAAATGCAGTTTCCTTTATGATAATAAACCAGTTATTTGTGGGATTAGGAGTATACGATGCTGTAGATGAAGTTAAGTACATGCTGCTGTAATTTTTTCTGCTTTAAAACTGCCTATAAGACCACAATCTGCATGATGGTATTTTCATTGTCACTGAGATGACATTCTGTATTCTTCAGTAAAGCCTAAAGTACTAATAGATATTGTAACAGTGTGCTTCATTTGTCTGTGCTGTACTTTTTGAGACCACAATAAAGACTAAATGTCAGTTAAAATTACAGTTGACCTTTTCTTTTCTTTTTTTTGTTTTGGCTACATCTGAAGTATTCAGATCCTTTACTTTAGTAAAATTAGAAATACACCAATACAAAAATACTCAGTGCACTATAGGTATCAGAAGTAAAACCACTCATTATGCAGAATGACTCCTTCCAGGGTATTATATCGTTATAGAATATTATATTTTTCTGTTTGTGTGAGATTGACACTTATATGTTTGTCAGAATGGAGCCAAATTAAGGTACTGCATACACTAATATAATAAAACAGTATAGCTTATTAACATAATATCCATTATACCAGGGAAGGGCGCAGCCACCTTTACTATCAAAAATAATTTAAAAATTCTGTGTGGAGCAAACATATTACAAAATTGTTGAATTGAAATTAAAATGTAAAAAAAAAGAAGTTAATTTTAATTTTTGTTCATCATAGATGTAGATCGAAAGAAATTATGCACCTTTGCACCAAATAAAAAAAAAGATGTTTAGACATTTCGTCAACTCAAATGTGCTTCAAACGTGTATGGCCTAATGCCTTTTTCTCCAAATTCTGCCAAACCTCAAGAGTGGTGGTTAGTCTTAAATCTCCTGAGCTAGGCTACCTACAGATTCCAAATCCAAAGAAGTAAAAGTTTTGGAGGAGGAAAGAGAATGTAACAGTGTGAGGAGAGCTTCATTTGCTTTTGCTGCCAGTTCTACAAAGGTAAAATTCCAAAATAATATATTATTATATTATTTTGGAATTATTATATTATATTATATTTTTAATAAATTGCCCACTGCAGAAAAGCCACCTTGTGGGTTTGCATGGGTCCAAAATAAGAATCTTATCTGGGGCCCACCTAAGTGTCATGGAGCCAATATGGAGCCTCTGGACAGTCCCATATAGGGCCCATTTTTCAGCCCATTTACTACCCACATGGGCCCCACTTACAAATGTTGGCTGGGTTGTGATTGGTTACAGTTGCTCCAATGTAAAGAATAGATAATTATAAGAAGTAAGAATGAGAGTATGAAATAGAAGTATGTAAATAAAAAAGCAATAAATAAAATAGAAATGAAAATGTGCATTAAATATAAAATCAAATGTTAATTATGCTGCAGTGCTCAACACTAGTACATCAATAGAATTAAACAGGAATAGAATAAGAGTAAACATTAGAAATAT